TCACGCTCTTGCATTGAGAATTATTCATGAAAAGTGTCAGCTAATTAAATGGCTACTAATGTTAGTGTTAATTGAAGCAAGATGGGTGGACGCGATGGACGTAAATCATGACGAGGAACTGACTGCTGAGAAACCATGGGTGGCTTTGAGTTTTGACTTTGTTGTCCTTTAATATACTGTGGGGTAGCAGTTTCCCTTACTAAAATATGGGATTAGGAGTATTTTGCGTGAAAGAGGAGTTAAATCGGGGCAGTGTGGACGGTCCCACCCCTGCAATAGGCTAAATCCGAATTACAGCTTGTTAGACCGGTGTCCCGCTATCACCCGGGAGACCGTTCTACTTGGGTGTTCCAGGCCCTGGTGGTGGCTGCATGTGAGCTTAGGCTACTAGTGCTTTCAATGGGAATATAGGGCCAGAGTTGGAAACCCATCACACATGGTGTTATTATAGGCCTATATAGGCTATGGGACTATGTGCATTTACTGCTATAAATAAACTTGGTTAATTCAAATGATGCAATCCATGGTTCCATCATGAAGAGCAGTACCCCGGGCCAACGATATCTGTTTACAAAATAAAAACCTATTTCAGACCTGTTTCAAAACCTATTGACTTACGGAGTATACATTTTACTTCGATGCTTATAGACCTTATATCGATGTATCCCAGTGTTGTGAGAATTTATCCCAATTTTGTTCCAAAGCTCGTGCAATAGAAAAGCAAACAGAAGGACAGATAAGGCATCCGCGAGTTCAGCCTCAGAGTCTATGGACAAAATCTGGCGTCATCACAGCAAGAGGAATTTCATCCAAGTTTGACCACGACTTGTTCCAAGAATTCCAGACTAGGTTTCGGTCTTGAGAAATGCCATTGGTTCCTTGTGTGACTCAAACTAATCTAGAAATATGCAAATAGGACGACCGGTAAGAAATGTAATTAAAATGGTTTAGCAAAGTAAAGGGATCAACAAGTTGGACCATCGCTCATCTTGTTGCTATAACAACAGTGAAGGGGTTGCCTGTGATGGTGTGCCCAGGCCCTTTGCAGAGGCATCTCTCTGTGCTGAAATGTGAAACTGCTTTGTGTGTGCGTGTGTGTGTGTGTGTGTGTGTGTGTGTGTGTGTTGACACGCGCGTGCATCTGCCTGGCCAGCCTGCAAGGACTCATGCACATATTTCTATTGCCCATTTGTTTTACTTGAGCAAAAACAAAAAAAACTATTCGGAGGCAAGCCTTTATAAATGGTTCTCCACAATAATGAAGGTCCTGGTCCACCATGTCATGTAGCCTAGCTGTCTCAGGTAACTAATACATTGGATGATGTAGACCTAGGAGGCTGATGTCAGTTGCGTAAACTCTCGTGCACTTTTGGTAAGAAGGTTCTCCAGTGCAGATTAATGCCGGTTACCTTTGAACTAGGGTTCCTAAAGGCCATTCCCATTTCACTCCATCCTGGAGGAGGCTTGACTGGGGTTATCACCTCCATCAAAGGATCGGAGTAGAGGAGCGTCGGCATATGCTCTTTTAATAATGGGTAATGGGTATTTTCGAGGGCTCTTGCTCCTTGTGAGAGCAAGATTGGAGGGGAATTAATTATTGAAAACGGTCCCCAGTGTTTTGGGTGCATTATACGATTTCATCTCAACATTAAAACTTTTACTAGGCTACTACTATTTTCTGAGCACAATGGTGTATATTTTATACAGTAGCCTAAGCCTATTATGCAGGCTTCTTCTTCTTCTTCTTATTATTATTATTATTATTATTATTGTTGTTGTTGTTATTATTATTATTATTTTATTAGCCATAGGTTATCATTAATTGTCCGCAACCAATTGTAAATAGGTATCATGGATGAGATGGGGAAGATAATGAGGATAATTTATGATAGCTAATTCATTAAAACATATGTTCTTGACATTTGGAATTCCAATATTGATTAAAGTTTTTAAATTATTTTCAAGCAGTGTGCGTAAAATTATCTTAAAATTATCCCCAAAAGGAAGCCAATAGAAAATGCTTTGTTGTAAACTCAATGGATTTCTGAAAACCGGACGCACACAGCAAAACTCAAAAACGGATAGCAATGAAACATAAAATATGATAGGCTATAAACCACCCAGACGCTAACATTTGAATGTTGGAGCCGCAGGGTTTCATAGTAGGCTATAAAACAGAGTTCCATGCGCAATGGAGCAATTGCTCCTCTCTGACATCAATGATATCTATCAGCTGCAATAGCTCTCTGACACGCAATTGAAAGACACTGAACGAAGAGGCAACAACCTCTATCACAGAACTTGCAAATCACATCAGCCTTTTAGAAGCTTTGAACTCTCCATTGTCATGAAACCCAATTGGGCCTGCTCGAGGACCTTTCTAGTGAACCAGGATTTGAGCCTGGTGCTCAATTCTCATCTAGCATACCCCCAAGCGAATAATTACTATCATACAACGATTGAATTGAAATAAAGTTAGGAAATATACAATCAAATGTCCATACCTGTGCAATACAGTCGATGCTTACTAGCAAGCTAGGAGCCCAATGTGGAACCTCGCCTTCAGCCTTCTGCAAAGGGCTGGAGACATCACGGCATTTATTTGAGCTCAAACTCTGTCACTGTTGACTTTAGCACAAAGCAAAGATTTCACTGCCCCGCTAGTTAAAAAAAAGAAGATTATTTTACCGAGATATCGATCAGTGTGCTAAAAAAAAAATCAGCTTAGCATTATGTCTAAAATGAAGAGAACGAAATGGAATGTCTGTGTACATTTACTGAGTGGTGACGTCTTCTTCAAAGTTTACACTCCTGCAATTTGGTTGTGCATGTACTTCCTATATTGTGGGCATAGCCTCCACTCCATTGTTTACTGCCTTTGTTTATTCGCAGATCACGGGTGTTTAATGTACGATTTGTGAGAGGGACTGGAGAATAAACGCATGCACCCTTTACGTGTTCAGAAGGTGAAGCAGTGTCCTATCTGGCAAAGGGACAAACTAGTCCTCCCTGCCCTTGGATTTTCAAGCACACCGGCAGGGGCTTGGTATCCCCCTGGTCTGTGGAGGAAAATAATGGGTGTCTTGCCGTGTTGGGAATGTAAGGATTTTGATTCATTTCGACTATTACTATATCTTATCTTTAGGCTCATTGAGAAGGGATCTCTCAGTAGTTTAAAAGTACCCCTAGACAATGGCTTAGTGATACAGCACAAAGCAGGCGGCGCATCACATTCAGTAGACACTGTTCTCAATCCGCCCCCTTCCCCACAACTATTCTCTGACCCCACGGGACACTTTTATGTGATAATGAAACAAATTTCATCCAAAGATCTCAACTTGAGTGTGTCTTCCATCAGGGGGGACTCACTGTGTGTGTGTGTGTGTGTGTGTGTGTGTGTGTGTGTGTGTGTGTGTGTGTGTGTGTGTGTGTGTGTGTGTGTGTGTGTGTGTGTGTGTGTGTGTGTGTGTGTGTGTGTGTGTGTTTGATAAAGAGGGAGAGAGCGATTTACTGATGATAAGTTTCATAATGCATTATAAGGTTGTAACATGACTAAAGACATGACTAAAGCAGAAGCCGTGTGCCGAGATAATTACTTGTATAGGCCTAGTAATAATTAATATAATAACTGTATTGATCCCTTATCACATGAATAACATTTTTACATTGGTATCCATAAAGCACTGAGATGTGAGTAGGCATGCCGTTGTTGTTTCTGCTATCTGACATTGAGCCGCCCCTGACTATTGTTGATATCATGTTTGAAATTATCGTCAGCATTATATTATGATAGAAAACAGCTGCCTGTGTTGAGCTGAGCTGGAGATTGTTGTTTGTTGTCCTCACTTCTATATCATAGCTTGACTGCTTGTGACCGTATCCAACGCCTATCCTTGTCTCTGCCTATTTCACCACTGTCACTTGGAATCAAAGTTTGTAACATATCCTACAGCTAGTTAGTATACGTTTCCTCTTCATATATATATTTATTTATTTTGTTGTTGCTAAATATCTAGGAGCCATGTGGATAAATACGTCAATTTTGCTGGTTGCTTTCGCGTAGGAATTGTGTGAATATGAATTATATTATCATTTACGTAATGATCATGTGGAGGGAAATGTGGATGGGATCACTCATTCTGTTTGACCTGACGAAGATGGTTGTCAGTAATTCGGAGCATATTCAGTGTGCAGGCCTTTCTGTTATTTTTCAAGTAGGCTATAGCACCATCGTTTATCAAGGATATGACCACAAACTTTTATATGAATTAATTATATAATTATTATTTATATGAATATCATTAACATTTTAAATATGAAAATATGATAGATGGAATTAAATTAAACATCTTTGGCCAAAGTGAGACACAAAAACACCTATAAGATAGTTGTAAGACTTTATTTCTCAGGGAAAATGAAGGTGCAGATTAATAACTGCAATCCAAAATTTTAAAGAAACCGGAAATGCTCAATATTGTGAATAAACCTAGTGCTTGCCTCTCTTTTTTTACTCTTATGTTGGCCTATTTGTTTTCGTTTTTGTCATTGTCAACATTTTGCCACTTATCAATAGGCATATAGTTTGTTCTTTATGTTTTCGAAAATGGTTTAGTCATTGAGAGGATCAAAACCTTTTTTTCCTCCATCTTCACTACACAACTAGATTATCGGCATCGTTAGGAGCACACAGGTCACAAAATAAAATGCTCCTTCTTCGTGGTGTTTAGAAATGTAACTCCTCCTAAAACGTATTTTCTTGGACATAACGGAACAGTTTTATAAAAGTAAAGACCTGATGTTGATATTTTCAATATGAAAGAATATTGTCATTCTAAAATATCAGGCATATCTGAAGCTGTCACTGCTGCATATTACTAGGCCTACTACAACTACTACTACTACTACTACTACTACTACTACTACTACTACTACTATTACTATTACTACTACTACTACTACTACTACTACTAATAATAATAATAATAATAATAATAATAGGCCTGTTATTTTATTGATGCGTAATAGGCTTAGGCCAACTGTGTAAATAATAAATCAATCAATTGTGTTCAGAAAAAAATCCAAATAACACTTTAATATAGATTCTGTTCTTGTAGTCAACTACAAGAACACACATTTACAAGCCATAAATAAGAATTACACAAATGATTGAAGAACTTCAGTCTCCCACGATGCATTTAAATTCATTTAAGAATCCCGGTAGGTAGGGCCTATACAGATGCATTTTACACTAGGCTTATTGTCTTTTGGTCCATTCTCAACGCCGCCTTTTGAACAGATTTTGTCACATTATTATTAACATCCCTTTACAAAATAATTACTAAACCAACTTGACAACTAAATCAGTGGGAAACGTCAAAAATATCTGGAATAGTCCTACATGCACAAACTATAATTTTACAAATGTACAAATTGCTGGAAAGGGTCCATTTTATGTTTGGCGCCAGTTTATGAGGAGTTCATAATAGGCCTGGAGTAGACGCCTTGATAGTAAGATGCGTCAGTGGGTATTGACGAGGAATCCAAGCCTACTTTTCCCATTGAACCCATGGACAGCGCCCCGGCCATGGGGGAACCGTAGCCGGAATAGTGCATCACCTGCTCGTAAGTCTTTAGGTCCATTTTGTGATGCTGTTGCTCAGAGGACATGAGGTTATTGATGGAGAAGGGGTGGTTGAACGAGTAGTGATGCTCGGGTTTCAGGTGCGCTTCGTGTGCGAGGACCGAGTGATGCTGGGACATGAGGTGCCCATGCACCTGGGAGTGGGACACCGGTGAGGCGGCGTGCTCCGGACTCATAGCCTGGATCGACTTCATGTCTGACAGAGACCTTTTGTGGTCGTTCGGGGACGAGTTGGAATGGGGGGACTCGTTGCCGTTGCAACTCTCCGAGCTGCTGTTAGAGCCGCCCTCCGATGTCTTCCTGCCTGAATCCTTGCACATCTTCTTTTGGCCGTCACACTTAAACCGCTTCTGCCTCCTCAGATAGCAGCCGTTCTCGAACATGTTCCCCGAATCCGGGTGGAGTGTCCAAAACGAGCCCTTGCCGGGCTTATCCGGAGATCTAGGCACCTTGAGGAAACAATCATTGAAGGATAGAGAGTGGCGAATTGAGTTCTGCCAGCGTTGCTGGTTCTGTCGGTAAAACGGGAAAAGATCCATGATCCACTGATAGACCTCGGCCAGCGTCAGCATCTTGCTGGGGGACTGTTGGATAGCCATAGTGATGAGGGAAATGTAAGAGTATGGGGGCTTGGCGTGAGTGTAGCTTCTCCGGTATGTCTTGGGGTCCCTAGATCTGTTGATGCTGGACTGTCCATACATGGGGCTCATGGCGTTCATGTTGGCGTAGGACGTAAGGGAGTTCATGGACGGAGGCTGCGCGGTCATGGGGCTCATGCTGGGACTGAGCGCGGCGCTCATGGCTGTCATGCCCGCGCCCATGCTGTTCATGGCTCCGGTGCCCGGTGACATGCCGGTCATGGAGGGGCTCATGGCCGTGTTGACATAGGACATGTTCATGGAGTTGGCTGTCATGTTGGCCGTGGTGCTCATGCCCGACATGCTCATGTAGGTGTTCATTGAGTTCATGCCCAGGCCTGTGTTCATGTTGCCAACCGAGGTGTAACACTGGAAAACAAGACAGAAAACAAGGATTGTTAACCTGTTTGAGATTTTCGGAAGGGTTGATAGTATTCATGTGTAGTAGACCAAATAAAAGCCATGATAATAACATAATAACAATAATATCAGCAATAATAATAACAACCAACAATACTATGATAATCAGTATATTACAAATTGTAAATATAAATGATCGAAATTGATGTTAAAGCAAGCAATCCCAGTGCAGTTCACATCTTCTGAAATGCAAGGCAAAATTTGGTAAGGCAAATTGCTTGACAGAAATATAATTTCACATGATGTGATCAATAGTCTACATTTCTAGCCTACATCAAGCAAGTAAAAACGAAGAATTGTCACCATGTCTTACGTCAGCTAATCACCTTAAATACTAATAGAAAATTGATTAAATTGTTCTAGTGTGTAATATGTGTGGACAATATTATAGAATTTGCAACACAAATATTTGAATTAATCGTTCACCAATGAAATAGGTTAAAACAAATGTTTGCTCAATGGGTAAAATTACACAACTATATATGATTTTGTAACGATAAATGTAGACATATGGAATTACAATCTGAGTAAAAAGTTTCCCCTACATGTCAAGCACAACTTCGTTAGGATAGTGTCGTGCGTAGAGATGGGGCTGGATTTGGAGGCGCCTCAAGTCAATATTTGATCACAAAGTTAATATTATCTCTGGGCTAATATTGAGTTGTGTAAAATGGGATCGGTTGTAGACGAAAAAAATATTTAAGGTACCCACCTCGGGCTCTCCGTAGTAGGTGCTCCAGTCTGTGTGTTCGTGTCCTTCCATTTTAACTGCTCCAAGCATCATGGAAGTTTCGAATAGTTGTCAAACCGTTTCTCCGCAGAAGAAATGGAAAAACGCGCTCTAACAGACGGTGATTTGGGACCACGGGGTATTTGGGTCGTTGGTATGATCCTTAGTCAAGGACTGGCGCATGTGTGTCTTTCAGCCAGCCGTGCCCACGGGCGCTGAAAAGCGTCTGATGATGACCGGAGTTCAAATGACGTTCCGAGCTGGCTGTAAACTCTATGATATAGCTCTGTGCGCCAGGCGAGCCTCCAATCCCTACTTCTTCACTTGCCCTATTTGAATAAGCGCCTCACACCTAGGCGTGAGACTCCTCGACTTGCATCCCCCTTTGTACACCTGCGCTGACTGAAAAGAACAGTCTCATATAAAAAGATTCATTATAAACTAATCTTATTGAATTTCCGAAGGGGGGGCAGAGCATTTTAAGTGCTGATTTGGCGCTGCTTTTTCATCATGCACGTTCGTTCTCTTGTGATGTTCTTTTCAGACGTTGCTTGAAAAAGGAATTTAAATGCATCTTTATTGTTTTTCTTTCCCACCCACCAAGGACCTAGGTTTAGTTGAGTATTTGATGAGGGAATGTACTATTTCACTAGTCTACTCGATCTTATCAAAGTCTGCTCCGTTTTACGCCACCCAATTACATATATCTTTGGTAAGGTAACAATAATAATAATATGCCATTTAGCAGACGCTTTTATCCAAAGTGACTTACAGTCATGCGTGCATACATTTTCACGTATGGGTGGTCCCGGGGATCGAACCCACTACCCTGGCGTTACAAGCGCTATGCTCTACCAATTGAGCTACAGAGAAATTATTTAGTTTAAGTTTGATCCATTAGTCTGAATCATTCGTAGCCTAAGCAATTCAGGTTTTACAAACAGTTTTACAGTAAAAACTTATATTATTTGCCCCTTAAGAATAATATTGATATTTTCAACTTCAATTGGAAGCAATAACAACATTTGGCCCTAATATGTAGCCTATATCAAAACATATTGCCAAGTTTTTGCATTTTACAATTTAAAGGTAATATTCACTTGGTAGCTTCTACTGCTATTGAATGTGTGGACTAAAATAGGCCAGATAAAGTATCGTCCGTGAGCGCGCTTGAGGGTCAAGGTGTGGACTATTGATTGCTCAGGACACAAGCGCTGCTGTTAGCTAGATACAATAAACAAAGTAAAGTTTATTCAATGTTTTGAGCACTGACGATTTAACGGATCACCTCGATGTCGTCTGATAGGGTTAAGGAAAAAAGTAAGAATGATTTAGGCTAGAATAATATCAATCCAGCCACTAACGAATTTACATTTCTGTGTCGGGAATAGCCCATTTGCAATGATAAAATAAAAATAAAGCACAACAAATATGGAAAATAAACATTTGGAATCATGGCAGATAAATGATAAATAGGCCTAATCAGTAATAAAATGTTCCATGTTTTTTTCCTGCAGATTTCATAAAACATGATAAAAACGACCAAGTCTTAAGGTTTCTTTACCATTTAGAATTATTTATATGGTTTTGTCATGATTTATTAGTGTTGTGCGGGAGAACAATTAGAGGAAGATTTACGTTTCAGCGCCCTCTCTTGGTTATATTTGTCCAACAATAATTGTTTGCGGTGCATTAGGCTACTTACAGAAAACAACACCCTCTAAAATCTCTATAGCCTATCGTTACTTTAATTAATCATCTTGCCTATAGAATAACTTCCTATCTTATTTACCTGATCAAGGTGAGGACACAGAATGGTGCCAGCCACGTGCCGTTGGTTGCACATCTATTTGACTGCATATAGATGTAAGAGCATAACTATCGGTAAAACCCATTAGTAAAGGAGAGTAAACCATGCCGTGTTGACGAGGGGACAACAGACCGTCTGCTTAACTTGGAAATGAGATCATGACCACCTCTTGGTGTGTTTAAGGACCACATAGCCTACACGTTCACCACAGTTACTTCATTTATTGAGCGGCATAACATAAGCCTAAATCTTCATGGTATAGACATTGAAATGTATTGTTATTACGAAAAATGAAATTATATTTTTTTGCATTACAATGTTTTAAAAACCTGAGCATTGCAATATTGATACTGACGTTTTTGGATCATGGTAGGCTATGTCCCTTCACTTTTAGAAAAAAAGGTGCTATCTAGAACCTAGAAGGGTTCTTTGGCAGTCCTCATAACATAACCCTTTGAAGAACCCTATTTGGTTCCAGGTAGAACCCTTTCCACAGAGGGTTCCACTTGGAACCCAAAAGGGTTCTACCTGGAACCCAAAAAGGTTCTACCTGGAACCAAAACGGGTTCTCCTATGGGGACAGCCGAATAACCCTTTTGGAAACCTTTTTTATAAGAGTGTTGTGTTCTGAATACATTGTGTCCATGACAACAATAGGTCATTGACCTCTTTCCCAACTTCTCAGGTCTGTACATAAATAGGGTAAAATGTGACTGGCCATACTGTCACAAAGTAATGTTCAAGGACTGTAATGTTCCAGGCTGTATCACAACCGGACGTGATTGGGAGTCCCATAGGGCGGCACACAATTGGCCCAGCGTCGTCCGGGTTTGGCCGGTGTAGGCCGTCATTGTAAATAATCATTTGTTCTTTACTGACTTGCCTAGTTAAATAAAGGTAAATAAAAAAAAAGATTTTAAAAAAAAAGGACAGTCATAAAAAAACATGCTATAGATGACAATATGACCAACTGTACAACACAATATTCTTGTAAAATATTTAGCTAATTCTGGAGTTAATTGTTAACCAGCGTATCCCCACCACATGTCCTCTCATGTGAAGGTCACACATTTGTTTGTTACTATAAAAACAAAAAGTATAATATAACATTATTATGTCCATATTGATTGATTGAATGGGAAAAAGATGCACTGAATACAACACAGGGGATAACACGGATAACACGTCCTTTGTCATGTGTGCGATGGAGATGAGTGAAATAATAATGTGTCCAATGGGTGACAGAAAAGGATTTCCTACTTTTTTTTCACATTTTACAGAAGGGGTTGTGCTATAGTACTTCAGCACTGGCATTGCAGTGCAATATCCCCCTAACTGATTCTCACCTTTCTGCCACCATACAAGAGGAATGCTGGTTGTACAATATGTTACATGGCCAGTCTCACTAGGGACTCTACAAACTGGATGGTACTGGATGGTCAGCTTCACATAAGGGCACATTATGCTTTGATTTTATGGAGATTTTGGCTGCTATTCTCAGCCGATTTGTTATTCATACCAGGTACTGGAAGCCAAGGGGAAAAGGCAGCTCTTGGGATAGGCTACATGTATTTCTTGTCTGCCCCCATGAATGAAACATTGAATATTAATTTAAGTCTCTCGCCCACAGGTGCACAGCTCCAGCTTTCAAAGGCCGCTTCCAAACACTGTGGCCCTAAAGGACCGGAGTTGAACACTCCAGCCATTACCACACTAGAGATGCCCTTGTGGACCAATGGAAAGGGCAAACCTCAAAACAACCCTGGGTCACAAACACAAAGTGACAGTCTGACACCTGGCTGTGCTATGACAACACACCTTCAATTACATAATAATATCACACCATCCTATCCCGTCATCCTGTCACATCATCCTATTATTTCATTATATCACGCCATCATATCACAATGCCTAGTTCTCTGGATCCTCTTCGCCTCAGGGTCATCCTAAGAGGTACATGGAAACAGAGCTGGGCTTAGGGATGGAAACTGGGTGCGCTCCTCTCCACTCTGTGAGAAAGGTAGGACCATCTAACATTCCTTCAAACACCTAGGAGTTGTTGGCAGGAACGTGTTACTTCAAGCTTCAATTTCAGAGTAGGATTTCTTTCCACTATGCTGCTTCAGTTTTCAGCCAGCTTTAAAGATTCACTTTAGTTTCCCCCTTTCGAGTTTTTGTTGCCTTAATTTCCTGCGAGGCACCTCCTCATAGAAAACACTGGGGCCAATAGGTTAAGCTTGTGATTCGTCAAAATAAAATGTATAAAGAGAGCCTCTTTCTTCGGAAAGCGATGGAAAAATGTTTGCTACCAAGTGCCTGTGGTGACAGTAAACATTCCAGAGCAGGCCCGGAGTTTGGACTTCCCATTATCTGCCACAGCTGTGACAACGCCTGTTGGCTGCAGGTTTGCGGCTTGCCACAGTGTGTTTACCTGGAAATGAATCTGAAAAGCGACTAGACTGGGAAGACACACAACCCGGCTAAATAAATAGGGAGGACAGCCATAGTGATGTGATGCAGAGGGAGGGAGGGGGCAGCAGTTATTATACCGACTCACCCTACTGGGTCCTGGGGCAAACACTGGCGCAAATGGCCTAAGGATTTTCCTCGAATACGCACCTTTGGATATTGAGAGGAATGCGCTCGGGAATGCCACTCAATATCCATGTTTTATGTGTGCCGTATCCAGGGCCTGGCAATTTCATTTGTGATACTTTTCTCTTGTCATGTAAAAAGGAGGCCTAAGCTGAGTGATGCTCTGCATCGATCAAACTAGGTGACTGTCTACCCAGTGGACCACAGGAGGAGATATCATGGGACCCAACATCTTGAGAGTGGCTAACGTCAGATGGCATTTCAAACATTTTAAGAGGAAATTACTTACAGTAATTCAAGGATATAATACAACATTAACTACACAGAGCGTAAAAAACATTAGGAACACCTTCCTAATAGTGAGTTGCACCCACTTTTGCCCTCAGAACAGCCTCAATTCATCGGGGCATGGACTCTACAAGGTGTCGAAAGCACACATACACAATCCATGTCTCGATTGTCTCAAGGCTTAAAAATCCTTCTTTAACCTCTACGGGATCGGTGTCCCGTATACGGGACGGTTGAGCTAACGTGCGCTAATGTGATTAGCATGACTGTTGTAAGTAACAGCAAACTTTCCAGGACATAGACATGTCTTCTATCGGCAGAAAGCTTAAATTACTGTTAATCTAACTGCACTGTCCAATTTACAGTAGCTATTACAGTGAAAAAATACCATGCTATTGTTTGAGGAGAGTGCACAACAACTGTGGTGAATGATGGACGGAGTCAGGCGCAGGAGTAAAATAACCGGATGCAGATTTATTACTTCCAGACATACAATGCGCCTACAACGGCAATCGAAACAGGTACAGGGGAAACAATCCTCCCTGAACAAACACAGTCTCAGAAA